TACGCTTTTACCATTCACCTTTCCTTCCTCCTCCCCCCAAGATTTCTCTCCTTCGAAGAAACTTCTTTCAAATCTCGTTCGAGAAGAAAATAAGAAAATAATCCGAGATTATTCCCTGGATGTGTCGAAAATACGAAATCCCTGGATCCTGTTACACATACGAATAATAGGAGGAGAAAAAAGAGATAACGAAGATTATCCACCAAGCTCGATCGTTTCGATTCTTTTTTTTATGGACGACGCAGTTGAATCGCGCATGTGTGTGTGTATATATGTTTATGTGTGTATGTGTGTGTCGCCGCGTATTCGCAGGGGGTCGCGGTTCACGGTTATTATCGCGTGTCGAATGGTAAATGCTGGTAAACAAAACGATTAGCGATCGATTCGCGCGAGTTGAAGAAAAAGAAGAAGAGGATGATGCGCTCGATCGATTTCGCGTAATAACGATAAATTACGTCCACGTTACGTTGGCGTAACGTGAGAAGTAAAGGAAGATACTTTTTCCTTTCTTTTTCCTTTTTCCTTCACCGAATAACGAATCCTACCTTATCTTATATATCGAAAGGAGAAGGATAAAATATCCGTTGGATTTTTGGCCGACTTGGAGTTTTCGATGCGTGGCCGCGAAGTGAGCCGAGGAGGGCTGTTGCACCCTCTATTATACCCCGAGCGGGATCCTCCACCGCCCGCCACCCTAACCGCACCCCCTCCTCCTACCACCTGTAGGTAGATACAAGGATATCCGAACTGCTACGCCCACGTGCTTCCACCATTTCTTCTCGCCGAGAAAAATTCTTCTCGCTCGATCTCGAGTTGTTGAAAATTTGTTCAAACGATAAACTTGCGATCGTTTGCGCAATATCGTTTTTTCGAATCCCTCCTTCGTCGTTTCCTTTTAATCGATCATATTGACACGGATTGACGCCAATGTTTCGGTATTCTTTTTTTCCACACGTTGCGAATTTATATTGCGGCGTCTTTACGCTGCGTCGAAGTTGACGTCAGCCTCGGAGAATACGGCGATGATCTTACCGATTCTTCGCTCGATTCGAATTTTCTCGAATCGATACGCGCGCGTACGCGAAAAAGTGGGAGGGGAATGGAAGGATCGATTAATTACCGACCGAGGCAAGCCTCTTCTCGTTAATATGTTTTTACCTGCCGAGCTATTCGCACGTTTCTCGCGATAAGGATTTCAAGGATTTCTTTCTGGCGAATAGGGCTGAGAGAAAGTGAATCCTCTTTATTACCGAGGATCTTCTCGTTTTTCTCGAGAAGGGAGGAGAGAAAAACGATATTTCGACGTTGTGACATTTGTCTGCGCGCGTGTCGGTGTGGGACGATGGAAAAAAAAAAGAAGGAAAAATTAATGAAGATGCGCTCGTTAGATTCGACCGCGAAATGAAAATGTCGCGCGTGTCTTGATTTATTCGACCCGATTCCCATATTTGAATATTTTTCCAAAATTGAAATGTTTCTCGAAAAAAAGAGGAAAAAAAATAGCGAACTGTTTCCGCGAAAGCAAAAATTTCGAAATCATTTCGCCCTTCTTTCGTTTTGAAATTCAGTTCAATTCAGACTCGTTGAAATTAATAATCGAATCGCTCGAACAACATTCGTAATATTCGTAATATTATTACATCGTTTCGAAAACAAAACAAATTAATCTTCAACTTCGTAACTTCGAAACTTGTCGAAATATCGCGTTACACGAGCGAGCGAAATTTTCATTCGGTGCTTCGCTCGCAAAAAACACAGCAAAAAAAAAAAAAAAATTACAAAAACGAGATTTCGATTTCGCGTTTCGACCGATAATCAAAATAAAGAACGTTTAAGAAAAATGAAGGGAAGGGAGGGAAGAGATCTCGATGCGGAGAGAGAGAGAGAGAAAGAGAGCGAGAGGAGCTTGCTCGAAAATCGAGGACACGAGCGCTCGGCCGTTTTCGATGATGATCGTAAATAGAAATCTCGTAATTTGTTTTCATAGAGCGGACGAGAGGGGGCCGGCGGACAGTCGGTAGTTGCTGAGACTGGCGTGGAAACGGGGAGAGGACACACACACACACACACACACACACA